TGTGTGTGTGTGTGTGTGCTTGTGTATGTGTGTGCGTGTGTGTGATTATTACTATTTTTTTTGGCAAGGGTGGATAAGTTCATCGCCTATTCGTATGGAAAACCTTAACTAACTGTTGACAGAAAAGAAAAAAAATAGATAATAAATTGCAGAATTTTAAAATACACGCTCAGGTGTATTTGTAATAAATGATCTTTTGGTTGGCATCTTGACATCACTTCTCTGCTCACAATCTTGAGCTGGATGTCTTAGAGTGGGAATTTCTGGCTTTCTGCTTCCAAACAAAATATAAACATATAGTCGGGTTTAAAAGTAAAGCTAACCAGTATTTTTCTTTTCTCTCGATCTCATTTTCCTAGAGGGATAGAGCGCTATATAAATTATGTTATTTGTGGGTCATCGTCGTGAAATCAGGCGTTATAATAGCCAAAACAGTGAGTGAAATACGAGAAACAGACATTTTTTTACCCGTTGGTCAATTTTTATCGATTTTCTGTTGGCTCATCACCTTTAATATCCATCCAAAACATATTTCAGTGTGGATTTTACTTTTCTGAAAATAACCAAAACGTTGATCAAAGACACAAGAAATTCAAATTTCTAGTTTCCATGGACTCTCAATATTTTGAAAGTAACAAAAATTTAGCTACCAATTACTCGCTAGTTTGTCCTCTGACACCAGGCAACCCCACCTATTAAAATTAGATGGGACTTTCTCCCACAAAAGCAAGAACAATACAAGTTTTAAGATGATAGTAAGAGCTCCAAAACTTGGAAAGAGCCTTGTTCCCCCGCGTTACGACATGTTTATTATTTAATTTATTTATTATTGTTGCGAAAATGTTATGGACTCTATGGTTGTAATTATCATGTGAAAAGATTATATACATCATGTTTGTAGTGTCTCTACTTAATATCATTATTGTAATAGTTTCCCTTTTCTATATCTGATTCATACTAACTGATACTGTTCAGACTTAATCTGAATTTTTTTTTTAAATTAAAGAAAGCCGTTTTCATAATTCGGTAATTCCTACTTTCTGGAAGGTATTAATCTATCAAAGTTCATCTGACATTTTCGCAGATTTGAAAGAAAAACTGAACTAACCGATGACAGAAAATAAAACGAACAAAAATTAATATAAAACAATAATATTATGAAATAACATGAAGTGTCTCACCATCTGTGTCCGTCCTGTTACAGTTCTTGTCGTAGAGACCAAAGATGTGCTGAGGGTACAGGACCTCCATGAGGGAGCCGAACATAGGACAGGTGATGGGCGCCTCCGACATACGGATACACGTCTTGAACTGTTCGTACGACCTGCAATATAACATGGGAGTCAGAAGAAAACATTTTGGATTATTATCTCGAGTTATTTCTTCGAGAGAATGATATGTATCTCTCTATATATCTCAATTTCTCTCTTTCTTTCTCTCTCCCTCTCCTTCACTTTCTCTCTCTCTCTCTCTCTCTC